AAAGTTGTACGTGTGGCTAGTTGTACCCTCATCATAATTGTAACGTTGTTAATTATCTAATAAAAAGCCCCCCGGCCTAAGAGGTCACCTTAAACAACAAAAAAAAAAAATAAATAAATAAATTGTGCAGTAACTGTATTATATATTGTATTTAGATAAATTTTAATATCTAAAAAACTTACAAGTTCTTTTTGAAAAATATTGATTAATTTTGTTAATACAAATATTAAATCAGCAAGATATTTAGTAGCAATAACAAATTCATAATCTAATTCATCAAGTAAATTTTTTGCTTAATAATTTTTTTTATCTAATTCAATATTATAGCATAAAGCATCAATTACTAAATCCAATATTTGATACAAATTTTTTTCACTATTTGATATTAATAACTATCTTGTATTAACTATATTAAGGATAGTTAATTGAGAATCTTCTAATATATTTTGTATTATCTTTAAGTTTTGCATATATTAATAAAAACTTAAAAAATAAGTATATAATTTTTTAATACTGGTTTCATATTAATTAAAATATGGAGCATGTTTTGCCATATTTTTCTAGCTAAATATAGTCTATATGCAATACAATGAACAGATGTAATAAATAGATTAATTTCTTGAAATTATTTAACAACACCTGTTTTTTTACCAATTAATGTAGCAGTCTCATTACTACAAAAATGTAATAAATTTTTATTACTAATTCTTTAGCAACAAAAAAATTTTTTAAATCTAATATAATTGCTTCATATTAAGTTTATCTAAATTAATAATTTCTAAATATCATATAACTGATATATTATAAACTATATACTAAAATACAATAACTAAATGTTTTTCATTAGTAATAGAATTAGTTTTATCAATCATAACACTCTAGTTAATTGAACTTCTAATTTTTTCATATAATACTCTTTTAATTATATATACAAACACCTCTTCAATATCTTTAGCAGATATTTCTGATAAATAGAATCCATATTTATTTGATTCTAATAGTAAATTTTTTGATAAATGTAATAGAAATTCTAATGCTAGAGGTGTATCACAAAGATTTATAACTTTAAAATTTTTGTAATAAAAATCTATAAATTGATATAAATCAGAATAGACTAAAAGTGCTAAATATTTTTTTGCTGCAAAATATATATATTGCATTTGTAACATAGTTTTAAGTTTACAAGCATCAGTAGCTAATTGAATTAAAAATTTAATTGCCATAATATTTTAATTTTTTTTGGCTTCAGCTTCAGCTTTATATTCATGATAATTAAAATGTAAGTCAATACTTTGTTTTCAGTAATTACTTGATTCTTTTGCAAGTTTATTGGCATAATTCTTTGATTTACACTATTAGCAAAACATAAATAGTGTTCTATTTACATCTCTATACTCTAACCAAACACCATTACTATTTTTCATCTACTTTGGATTAGAAGAAGATCTAACTTTGTTTTGCTTTGGTATTTTATTTGACAAAATATTGGTAGAAGGTTTAACTTGGTTTTGTTTATTTTTTTTGGATATATCTTTTTTTAGAATTTGTTTTAACAAAAAAAAATCTTTTCATTTTGTAAAAATTAAAGCTAATTAAAATATACTAGAAATAAAAAATATATTATAAATATAAAATATATAGTTATAAACAATTTAACAAATCTGTAACTATAGTAATTAGTATTAAATTTTAAATTTAAACTTGATCTTTTGCATATCTGATACTGCTTATCTATAATCTATTAATATATTTATATATATACACAGAAGTAAAAATTTAAAAAGTATTAACTCTTTTTAGTAATTATTTATATTATTGTATTGTTTAGATTAGTATATTTTAAATATAGCTTCTGTGATTATTAATTTATTAGATAGCATTAACTTGTACTACTTCTGAAACTATATTCCCATAAATTCAAGCCACAACACTATTATTAATTAGCTTATATTGTTTTTATATATGAAAAAGCTATTATGAAGAGACCTGATAATAGATTAATTTTCTTAAATAGTAGATAATAGCAGGAAGACTGATAATTTCTTCTTTACAAGAAAACTTTTAAATACTTCTGTATTACAAAAAAGAAATTTTTTTCTTTGAATTCATATTAAAAATATATAATAGCTATTTTCTATTATTTATCAATGTTTATAATAATACAATTTTAACAATTATATATATTATCAAAAGAAACTTGTATCTAACAAGACATAATTGTCAACAATCTTTAGAAGTAATTTATATTTAAATTAGGTGAAAAAATGTATATAAAAGGAAATTGCTATTTCATGAATTTGGTTGCATTTTATAATATTTCTCTCCAGTATTCTCATTTCTTGAACTTGTGTCTCTTGAGTGTTATAATGTGCTGTATCTTTTGATCTTGATTATTCTCTTTGTTTTACTTCTCTCTGAATGTATATTATATTTATATAAAAAAAACAAAAAAATTGCACATACTATGTAATGCTAATAATGCTAATACATTTGTTTGTATTATGAATTGTGCAATTTAGCATTTTAGATAATATATTATGCTATTATTTTTTTAAAAAAGATGTTTCATTTTATAAATAAATAAATTGAATTTACAGAAATTATTTGCTAGGATATATTTCAATATAAATATTTATTATTTGGTGCTTAACCTTGAGTGTGTAGAATTTTCATTTTTTAAAAAAAAATATATTGTAACTACTACTGTCGTGTGAACCATGTGAATAATAAATTGATATTAGTTATATAATTATAATGTTAGTTTACAATTGATAACAATATATATTGTTATAAATTTCTACATTGCTTTTAAATATAAATCTGATTAAAATTGTTTGTGTTCGATTACATTATTTTAATAAAATTAATGTGTTTGCTACATTTTCAAAAAATGTTGTAATTAATACTCTATTGTTTCTCTTGAATACAATCGATCAAATTCTAGCTATAATAAATGAATAAGTTGCTTCAAATTTGTATATATTTGACAAATATAAATATGTTTATTAGCTGATAGAGAGTATAAAAATTTGAACTAAAAATTTATAATAATAAACTAAATAATAACAATATCTCAAATTACTTATCTTAATTGCTATTAGAATTAACTTTATTATTATCTGTTGTAATCACTAGCTCATCATTATCATGTCATCCTTATTCATATCATTTTGCTTTATTAAGACTATTATAGGAAATGCAAAATTTGTATCTAGAAGTGCCTTGTATTAGATAAAAGATACTAAGAAGGCTTTTAGAAAAATTATTTATAAAGGCTTTACTGGATCTTCTAAAATGTTAATTGAAGAATTCGAGAGCAACTCAATTGTGCTTATGATTAGATAATATATTTATGATAAAAATATAGAATATATTAGTATTGAGTTGTATTGTTTTCTATCTGTTAAATTTTGAAAAAGCTAATCTATCACAAATTTTAATCTACTTAGATTATGCTTATTCAAGCTATTCCAATTTTGTACTTTTTAGATAATTCAACTATTAAGACTAAGGATCTTCCTTATTCTTATTTGCTGTTAATTTATTTTGCTTCTGCTATGACTAATTCTTACTAAACTAATGATGAGGTTGGGAGATAAAGCTTCATGCTATCAAGGTGGTTATATAATAGGGTAACTGGTAAAAAGAATATTGAATCTAATGTGATTGTATCCTATATAAATCAGAATAGTCAGTATAATTCTCTTAAAGAGAATCTAAAAAAAATAGTTATATTAGTAATTGGAAGATTCAAGATCGGTTCATATAAAAAAACACCTCATATTATTACATCAAATATCAAGTAGAATTTTGCAAAAAACAATAGTGAATCTTGAGCTTCATTTTCTTCCAACGATAGAAAATCAAAACTCTGTGGAGATTTGGATAACCAACTTGATCTTATAGAAGAGATGTATATAAAAATAGAAGCTCAGTTCTCAAAAAATAAAAATTTATAATTTTACTTCGCAAGCAAACCTGCCAAAAGATAATTTATCATCTACTAATTTCAAGAACATAGTCATGCAAATTAAAACTGGTAAACCTGCTGTGCAAGAAAACTCTACTGAATCTGCTGTGCAAGAAAAGTCTACTGAACCTGCTTTACAAGATAACTCTGATAAAATGATTAATAGTCAGGATATAGAACCTGATAAAGAATAAAATAAATATATAAATTATCATTAAAATTAAAATTAATATAACTTACTATTAAATTTCTATATAACTGATTCTGATTATATAATAATTATATATCTTTTTGTAACTTTTTGTCAAATCAATATTCTTATTAATTATAATATCAGTATTGTTTAATAAATTGATTTAATATATAGTACACAAGCTAAGTTATTAATTAATATAAACCAAATACTTGATATAAATATAAATATAAATTTGGTTTAATCAAGTTGTAAAGATAAAATAAGTCTAATTTTCATAATAATTATAATATAATAATAATAATAATAATAATAATAATAATAATAATAATAATAATAGTATGATAATAATTATGATTATGATAAAGATGATAATAATAATAATAATACTAAAATTATATATATATACGTTTACTTCAATCTCCTAAAAATGTCTAACTATCAGATTCAAACTTTTCCACTTATCACTTTTTAAAGTACTATACAATCTGATTCAGAAACTATTCAAAATCCACAAAATGTTTGTTCATTCAATTTTTATATATTCAGAAATGAAATAAATCAAAACTTATTAAATGCATCTATACCTGATAATATTTGGTTGCAACATGGATCAAACTTTCAACAACCACTTGATTATAATCCTATATTTCAATGAGCTAATTTTCAACACCTATTAAATGAATTTTAGACAAAGATACTATATGATTATCTGTGTATCTCTTGTGCTCATTGTTCAATATTGATGATAAAATCTTCTATAAAATGGATGCCTTATTATCACAATGAAACTTATCATTTAACCAGTACTTTTGATATTCCTGTACATACCTGAGTAAATAAAAGAAATATTAAACAAGTAGCTATGTGCAATAGATGCAAGAACCAAAATACACATTAATATCTACCTATTCTAACTCCTATTCCTCCTGAAATT